ACATCGGAAGAAGGGCAGCTTTTTGGGATCATTCTCGAGCTCTCGACAGATAAATTACCAAAATCGATCCTACTTTTCTATTTCAAAAGAAATCTGTCTCGCGTTTCGACCGGGTTTCAACTAAAAATAATTTAAAGATGGCCCTGATAAAAATTATTATCGCTCTTGTCTGTTTCCAAGAGCAATTTATTCCTGAAAAAGGGAAGTGAATCATGTGATGACAAGCATTTCTCCGCTCACAAAAATATCAAGTATACAAATAATTTACCATGAATTGAAATGCAATTGAAAATTATCTGGGATCACGCTGAATACATACCAATCTAATTTTCCAGTTTTCTTTTTATTATGTCCCTCGATTGCTTGATATGCAATATAAGCTTTTTTTGCCAATTTTCAGCGTTCAGAAAGGTTCACGAAATTTTCCCACATCCGCCCATGCACACATCAATTCAACTGAGCAGCATTGAAAAAAAATTTTTCACCATATGGAATTAAAAGAAAATGCATCACAGTATGCATGCAATTGTATAAATAATGAATTGCCAGCACTTTTTTTTTCTAATAATGGCAAAAATCAAAGCACAACGTTTTCAGCCCGATCCCAGATAATTTTCTATTGATTGAACAATTTAGAAAGAATCTTCAAGGATCATTTTTTTAAAGCAGAAACATTTTTCCAGCACCTTTTTCTTGAGTTTAAAGAATCCCAAGTCTTTTGAAAGATTCGTCCCTTTTGGTCTGACTTATACCAGACAGTCATTAGAAAAAAAGAATGCAAGTTGCTCAGATACTTTCTTCCAACACAAAGACGAATAAGAAACCAAAAACAAAAAACCCCGGCCTGCAATTGGAATAATTCCCATCTCAAAATTCCCGCGAACAAAATGGTCATCGAAAAGACGAAGGAAAAAAGGCGGAAGAAGCGGAAGTGAAATCCCAGCTAGCAGGAATGTTTTTGGCACAAGACCACGACTGTAAAATAAACGCAAACCTCGAGTATTTCCCCTCCCCTCCC